CGCCCCGGGGAAAAACGCCGCCTGCTCGCCCAGGGAAGCTCCTGGAGGGGCAGCAAAGGCGGCCGACGGAGGCCGCCGTGAGGGCCAGTGGCCGCTCACTCGCCCGCTGCCCCGGCCTGCTCTGGCGGCGTCCAGAGGAGACAACGGGCTTCCCTCGAGGAAGGTGGCGGCTGCTGCTGAGGAAGCCCGACCTGAGCCGGCGGAAGGTGGAAGGCAAGTGGCTGCAACGCCGTGACTGCCCTCAAGACCCCGCGGATCCCGGCAGGAAAACGGGCCGCCAAAATGATAAAGCAGCGAGGAGGCGCCGGGCAGGCCCTTTCAGTCGCCTGATTTGTCACAGCGGAGCCTCGCCCTGCGCCCCCCACCCCCGCTGCCCAGGCGGAACAGTCGCCATTGCTGGCAATCGAAGTGGGGGTGGAAGATTGTCTCTTTCAAAAAGGCGCGGCTGTTTCGTGTGGCTGAGCTAGTGGCCAAAGGGTTGAGTCTCTACAAGATGAACCCCTGCAGTTCTCTCTCCCCCGCCCCCGTCTCTCGCCACTAATAAACACGCGAGGACTAACAAGCGTGTCTGCAGTTACATCCGAATTGGAGGACACGCGCAAAGCATGTACTTGCTGCCGTTAAAGCCCACGGAATGTGATCCGAGCAGTGCTTCGACCCAAGGAATTTAGACGGCCGATATGACCATTCCGAGGCTGCGGTACCACACCTCCCATCATCCCCCGACAGCCTGGTCAGTGGAGTTGGTAGTCTGTCAGAAACCTCGGGAGCCTCCCCGCCACTCCCTCCCCGGCCTTTCCACGCACATCTCCGCCAGCCCTTTAGCAGACTTCCTTCCCACGAAGGGGAAGTCTCCCTGCCCTCCAGCCGGGGCACGCGTGTCAGGCTGCTGAAAAGGCTCTGCAGCCGCTTGGGGACGTGCCTGGCGGCCCCTTCTCGCAGCAGGCGGCGTTTTGACTCTGGGTCCCGGCATTCGTTGGCTGACAAAGGGCCCGCTTGCCTATGCTTAACCTAGTTTTCTGTTTTCGATTAACCCCGTTTGCTGGCTGCGCCCCACGACGGGGTTGCCCACAATACCTGCCCAACTTTGTGTTAGCCTGGCCCTCTGTCCGGCCCTGGGTGCTCTCTTCGGGCCTTCTGCCCACCCCATCGAGGTCAATCCGGCGTTTCTACAAAGGCAGCCCTCCCCCGCCCCTCCCCGCGCCGTCAAGGGCCGACCAGGACCCGCTGCCCTTTACCTCGCTCGGCGTGAGTCGGGCTGTGCTGCGAGACGCTCCTTTGGTTTGGGGAGGGTTTCTTGCTCTCCAGATCCTCCGCGGCCGAGTGGTTGTCTTCGTGATCTGGGTCTTAGAGCCAATGAAGCGGGTTTCAGGCCCAGGCGAGGGAGCTGAGTCGGGCTCGCCTCGGCCACAGCGTTTAGGACCGAGTCCTTGGGAAGGGCTCACCGCCTGCCCCGGGAAGGAGCTCGCCGCCGCTCCAGGGGCTGCTAACTCCTCCGCCCCACCCCGCCCTTCTCCCCATAAGCCACGCCCGGCCTGGCGCAACGGCAGCCATTCCCCCGAGAAGCGACCCGAGCAGATGCGAGGGGTTGGGGAGTTCGGGGCAAGGCCCAGGCCTTGCAAGACTAGTAAGGGGGCGCGCCCCCTCCCCTTAAGATAAAGGTAAAGGAAAGAAGGGGGCGTCCCCGAGGAAACCGGAAGCAAGGAGACCTCATCGACCGTGGCGGGCGGCACTAGGCCTGACAGACCCCACACTTCCCGGGGAGGCCAACTCTCGCGAACTGAAGCCCGTTGAGGCGCGAAAGGGCCCTTCCGAAGAGGCCTGGCGTCCGGGCGGGGACGGGGGCTTCCCTTACCCGCCCCGTCCGTTCCTCCCCCGCCCAGCACGGAGGTGTCCATCTTGGGCTCGTTCGTACCGTTTTTCTCCGGGGCGCAGAGATAGGGGGTGATGGGTGGGCCCAGGGAGGCGCCGGCTTTGAGCGCTTGCGGACAGTCCTCCCTCCCTGAAGGATAGGCCTGCGAAGGAAAAGACAGAGAATTTGGCTCCACAGAGCGACCGACTGACCGACCAATGCAGAATTTACCTTTGCGTCCCAGGACTCGCGGCCCTCTCGCACAGAGCCTGGGAAGTCGCTCCATGGCCGAGAATCTAAGAACACGAATAAAACGAATTCAGACTCTCCTCGCTCAAAGGGAGGCCCAGTTGGAGACCCCTAGCTCTTCGGCGCTGCCTCTGAGCCATTTTCGGCAATTCAGTGGAAAGAAAAAACCCACCGACCTTCACTGGCTTTTTCCCCCTCCCCAATTTCTTGCCTGTTTAGGAAGGGGGTATTAATACAGGAAATATCTGTTTCCTGGAAACAGCTGTTTTAATTAGGGATATAATGTTGGTGCTACAGAGAAAAGGACCCTTCCCCAGTTCAAAAGAAGTCTAAAACCGAAAAGTCCCCCGCGCCGTGACCATCCCCCCCAACCCCAGCAATCTTGCTTCAGATCCGCTCCAACGAGAGATCCAGGTTTAGACTCTCTTCCTCTTCTTCTGCGGATCTGACTCCAGACTCCCCGGGTTCAAACGTGAACAGCATGAAATTCGATGGGTGGAGGAAGCTGAGCGGCTTCCGGACAGAGGCGGGGGCGGCTATGCTTTGGGTCCCAACCATCCGGAGATGGTTAGCAGAACGGAGCTAAGGGGCAGGAAAGAGTCTCCCGTTCAGATAGGGGGAAAAGAGTTATTTTTCACACACACCCTCAATCTTGTAAGTGGCCCCAAAGTGAGAGAGCCCAAGGGCTGTTTAATGCCCTAATTTGTCTGTCTGCGCTGTACAAAATCCGGTGGATCAGGCGCCGCTCTCGCCTTCCTCTCCTCCCTCGGCTACCCCTCTCCCAACTCTCTTCGCAGGCTTTGGAACCGGTCCCTAGCCCCCCCGCCCCCCGCAGATTTGCTGGACAAATTCACCTCGTTTGCCTCACCTCGTCTTTTCAATACAAGCCGATTAAAAGCA